AGTGTTGGGGTGCCTCCAGGACCAGGGTTGGGAACCACTGGTGTAAGCGTACCTTAAATGCCTTGCATGCAAAATTCTGTGAAACAGTGCAAACGGTGCATCTCTATCTCTTTTTTTTTTTTCTGCAGCCAGAGTTTAAAATGTTAATGAGCTGTCATTATTTGCAGCAAGACTTGTTTTGCAGCTATACCAGGATCTGATCTGATGATTTAGTTTCCATGGCACTTATTGCTATGGCAATTGGTTTTGGTGCATTTGGGAATATGTGAAATTAAAACTAGCACTAGACAGAACCTTTCTGAAACCTTTCTGAAATTTCTGAAGCTGCTTCCGTTGGCGTCTGTATTACTGCATCAATGAGCCCATGGCATCATGACATCTCCACTAACATCTGTTATGTGTTAGTACAGTTTGAGCTTTCAAAACATCTTCTCCAGTCTGTTCTCTTTGTCAGGCATCTGTGCGTCAGCAAGGGAGTGACAGTTAGACCTGTTCGTCACAGGAAACTACAAGTATCTAGTAAATAAAGCTGCCTGCCTCAGTGCAATGCTAAAACACTGACACGACCACAGCAGCATCCCGCAGTGACACATCACCTGAAACTGAGCTCAACTTCTCAGCTCCTCAAGAAAACAAGCCTCTGATCTTTACAGAAATCACTCCAAATAGTTTTCTAACTTGGCTATCTGAGTTTTCAGGCTGTTGCACGTTCATAAGCAGATGTGCAGTTAAGGATTGTGCTCACGAATAAGGATTGTCATCATTGCTAGCCTGAGGACCATGAGGTGAGTAAGAGACTTTGTCCAAATTTCTCTCTTTAAGGTCTTTTTGCAGAGTGCTGTGAGCTTTTATACATTTCGGGGGGTTATCGAAAGCACCTTGCACAATATTATAATACAAACCAATGTTTAATGTTCACATGTGAATATAGATTTATAGTAATTAAAATATCATTTTTGGTTGGGATAAAGACTGGCAACAATTTTAACATTTTTTTAAGGAAAATATTTTAAAATACTGTGTGTTATGTGACTGGTCTAAAAGTATATATGTGTGTAATGTTGAAACAAGGAGCTCTGAACTTCAAAGTCGTAATCTTGAATCTTGAATCAAAGTCAGAATCAGCTTGAAAAGTGTGCGCTTGCATAGGCGCCTTGCTTCAAAGGCATTTCAAAGACATTTTTGTTGTGAAATGTGTTTTTTATGATTATTAAAATGTTTGGTATGAAACTTTTGAACAACCTTTCTAGCAACAAGTTTATAATTCAGACTTGAGAACTCTTAAAGACGTATTAAATAGCTTAAGCATTGAGGAAAAAGACATTCAACGCTCTAGTCGCAACAGGAAGTTAGTAACCTTGCTCTAATCTTTGTCCAAATGTGCCTTATCTCCATACACTGAGAAAAAAATGTTGGTGGTGAAACCATTTTGACTCTTAATTTTTTCTTTGAAAATAATTTCAAAGAAACAGCAAGTAACACTGAATTAAAATTTTGAAGTAGAAGGACTGATATCCTGTAAAATGTACTCCAATAATCTACAACAATCTCTAATAATATACAAGTTATTTATTTTTTTAAATAAAAGTGCACCCATGAAATATAATGTTAAACATTATTCAGAAATGTCGAATATGTCTTTAAATAGCTGACGTTTAGCTGTCGGTTTGTTAGTTTGCGTGTAATCGTGCCTGTATGATGTACTCCAGTATAGCCGTGTCATATGTGACCCTGGAGCACAAAACCAGTCTTAAGTCGCTGGGGGATATTTGTAGCAATAGCCAAAAATACATTGTATGGGTCATAATTATAGATTTTTGTTTTATGCCAAAAATCATTAGGATATTAAGTAAAGATCATGTTCCATGAAGATATTTTGTAAATTTCCTACCGTAAATATATCAAAACTTAATTTTTGATTAGTAATATGCATTGCTAAGAACTTAATTTGGACAACTTTAAAGATTTTCTCAATATTTAGATTTTTTTGCACCCTCAGATTCCAGATTTTCAAATAGTTGTATCTCGGCCAAATATTGTCCTATCCTAACAAACCATACATCAATGAAAAGCTTATTTATTCAGCTATATGTATAAATCTCAATTTCATAAAATTTACCCTTATGACTGGTTTTGTGGTCCAGGGTCACATATGTAGCACATGTAATCAGTTACGCATGAGTTATTTTGGTGCCTGGGGTATGAGGTCTGTAATTTGGACCTGGAGACCCTGATAACCTAGTGAGACCCATCTGTGTTACCAGGTGACCATCTGCTCCATAATGTCATATAGCTGTGGGAACAGTGCCACTGCATTACAATATGATATGGAAAAATGCCCCTCGCTAATGACTATCACTAATGAATGCTAATAGAACATTAGGCTTACGACAGTGTTGAAATCATAGCGCTGGTGACATCATGTGTGTTTACTGAACTTATTAATAGCAGCAATTAAATTACAGGGTTATTACAATGTAATAAATGGTTATTACAATGTAATAACATGCAATAAGATTATAGATGTAGAAATACTAAAAAAGATAGATATATGTCTTGATGGTATTTTAGCACATGAAAAAACCAATACGCATAAATGTTCTTGGAAAATATGTAGTTTGTTTTGATCAGACTATCAAGTTTATCAAACCAGCTGATTTCCTTTAAATTATTTACAGTGATCATTTTTCATATCGACCCTGTGGGAAGGCAACGGAAGATTGCTGAACCTCAGCACTTTACAGTCGCTTCATCAGTCATATGAGAATATGAGTCACATTATATAATGGTTTCACCTAAGCTAGTAATATTTGACCTGTTATTTGCATACTGAATCATTTTAATCTATTGATTTTGCTGTATATGTTTATTATTCAGGCGCACGTGTATTGCTTAAATAACTGCGGCTTGTACTGTTGTGATGTAACTGAGCATGATAGAAAATAGTAGAATGTTCTCAGTGTTTTACCAGATCTATTTTTAGAATGGCCACTCCTTTTTTAACCAAGGTAAATAAGTGCGTGATACTGAAAGTGCGGATGGAAAGTTTTCATCTAAGTACACAAGTGGTTTGTCAGCATCCTTCCTCCTTGCGTTCAAAGTGTGACAAAAGAAAGCCATGGCATGATCAAACTGTACATCAGATTTGATTGTTTTGTTTTTTTTACTTTAAAGAAGAACAGAATCAATACTAAAAAATTCTCACTCTTCTGTTTTTAGATTGTGGTTCCTATCAGCACTGTGTGCCTGAAAACTCCAGAGCAGTCGGCCATGGGCAGTCGGCCCAGTAAAGACCGGCGTGGATCCAGCGCACATGCTGTTCTCTTGGACACGGAGGAAAGCACCATGGGTGAGTTCAGCAATTTACTTACAAGGTGATTTTAGAAATGCAGCACTAAATGTAAATAAGTCTAATAGTGAAGCTCATTCAGATGTGCGTATGGATTCACTAGCAATGTTTTATTGACTGTTGCAACTGTAGCATTTATTGGTGCTTTACTAGCACTCATACTTAAGGGTAAGAATTTAATCTGAATGATAAACTGTAAAAAACAGACTGTAAAAAAATTTCTTGTTAAAAAAATTACAGCTGAGTTTGCCAGAATTTCACTGTAAAAAATATGACTTGGGTATTATTATTAGTTCTTAGGTATTACAGAATGGCAGCTGTATATTTTATGAACTGATAAAATATTAATACATTAATTAAATCACTTGAACTACTAAAATCTGATTTGTACATTACTGATAACCACCATAATAATACTCGTACAGTATATAGACGTGCACAGGGTCATACACATAAAAGATCAAATGTAGGAACCAGTGTTATATCAATAAAATATCTGATTTATAACAAAAATATAACAGTGTTGTGAACTGAAATCATAAAAAAATCCATTACTTGGAAAGAAATACACATTTTCATTTGGTTTATGTGCTAAAATATCTAAAACTACATAATAAAACTTAATAAAAACTATATAGACATTTTAAAAAGACACTAATAAAGAATGACAAAAGCACAAACAAAATTACTTTTAACTCAAATTAAAATGCAAAAATTAAATCTAATTCAGACTTTTGGAAAAGCCATTTAATTGTTTTCCACCATCAATTGTAAGGTGGCTCATATTTTAACTTACAAAAAACTTATTTTATAATATACTGTTAAATTATGTGCATTAAAGCTAAATTAAATGGTAAATCATACTTTTTTACATTTTAAAATTGCACAACCATACGTTTTAAAATTGCGCACATAATTTGCACTATAAATGTTAAGACAACTTTTTTTTATTACATTTTTAATCATGTGGCTTGTTGGGGAGCTCTCTTTATATATTATACTGTGCTAAAGCAGCTGGACTAAAGGTGTTGTTTTGATCTGTGTGCAGACAGCGGTAGATTCGTGGTGGTGTCCCTGTACGACTATCCATCCAGAGGTCCAGGTGACTGCACAATCAGAGTGGGAGAGAGGCTCAACATTTTGTCAGAGTAAGTGTACTACTGTTGCACAGTGACCCCTCATCATAGCCTGATCGGGCTGATTACCTGATGATATAATGTGTTACAGTGAGGGAGAGTGGTGGAAAGTCAGTTCATCAGCCACAGGAAATGAGAGCTACATCCCCAGCAATTACACCGCCAAAGTGTACAACAGGTGAGCTGAACTCACACACTTTGAAAATCGCCTTTCTATTGGTTTAGAGTGTGCGTGCAGGACATCATGACATCACACCCACGGTCAGGTGGTCTGGTGGAGTGTGTTCCATAAGTGACATCATCGTTGTTCCCCCAGAGGCGGTGGTGATGTCAGTTTTAGTTTCTGTAGTGGGCTCAGCTGGGTACAGTATGATCTGATTATCAGTTTGGGGACGTACTGTACCCACATTGACCTTGCTGATCACTCACTCATCACATGATGCTCTGACTCTACCTACTACTTTTCCCTCAGCTCTGTCACTCATCTGTGTGTGTGTGTTCGTGCAGGTGGCAGTTTGTGGGTCTCAGCAAACAGAAAGCAGAGGAACTGCTGATGCTCCCCCATAATCACGCTGGATCCTTCCTTATAAGAGAGAGCGAGACCTACCCAGGTACCTGTGTGCTAATGCTAGTTACATTACAAGCATTATTGTTTTTCTATGATTTGCTAAGCCACTTGCCACTATCACAGCTATCTGCTACAAACGATTATTATGATAACTGATTAATCTAATGATCATTAGAACTATTAATCGACTAATCGTTGATTTTGGTAACACTTTTAAGTATAGGGAACAATTCTCAATGTTAAAGGGTTAGTTCACCCAAAAATGAAAATTAGCCCATAAATTACTCACCCTCAAGTCATCCTAGGTGTATATGACTTTCTTCTTTCAGACGAATCCAGTCGGAGTTATATAAAAAATTGTCTTTGATCTTTCAAGCTGTTTAATGCCACTCAGCGGGTGTTGCATGATTCAGTCCAAAAGAAGCTAAATAAAAAGTGTCCATAAAAAAGTGTCTCGCACAGCTCCGGGGGGTACAAACTGCACAGCAATGTTCTAGCAATCACATAGCAGCATTTCAGAAACCTAAATAACTGCATGGCAACACCCAGGAAACTACCCAGAACTACAGAAGATGTCAAATCCAGTTTGTATTAATGTATATGCGTTTTTTTTTACTCAGGTAGCCACACTCTGTCAGTGCGTAGGAGCAGCGCGCATGAACGCGCTTCTGTCAAACACTACCGTATCAGCTGCATCGAGAACGGCTGGGTCTACATCTCTCCTGGACTCACCTTCAGGACCCTCTCAGACCTGGTTGCACACTATTCAGGTACACACACACACACACACTCACAGATACACCCAGTAACTCATTACTGGCACCCAGTGATTGTATGTGATGTTGCTGGGTTTGTGCTTGATACTAATGACATACATGATACTAATAGTTTTGAGGAAATGTTTAAATCATGTACTCACACGAGAGGTGGACTCCAGTCATCCCAGTGCCTATAAAAAACTTTTATTCTAGATAATTTTCAGTGGTGGAATAAATTGTGGGGAACAAAAAAAAAATTGCTGTGAATAGGGTAATTCTACAGCTAACAAACATTATGCTCTATCCAGTGTCAGCAGTCAAAGACCACTGGTGTATCATCAGAAACCAAACAAAAAAAGTTGATTATGTAGTGTGCTGTTACGTAAATAGTACTGGCAACCACCCAAAACTCATTAGCTACCACACAGCAACATGCTAAAATAAACATATTTTGGCTGAACGTGCAGAAATGAGTGCAAGTGTTGTGGGCGGAGTTTAAATGTGAACTGTCCCTCAGAAGTATCGGACGGGCTGTGCTGTACTCTGGGGGAGCCATGCTACATCATTGGATCCAACAACGTTCCTGTGGTAACCGGCCCGCCTCCGGTTGCCGTGAAGAGGCCTACTATAAACTGGAAAGATGTGGACAGGTGCGTCAAATGCATCCAGTCACAAAATGAAGTGACTGTCAACAGATCACCCAAAATGAAAATTCGCTCATCATGTTCCAAACCTGTCCAAGTTTTTTCCCATCTGTTTAACACAAAGATACTTTGAAGAATGTTGGTAACCAAACAGTTGCTGGTAGCCATTGAACTCCGTTATATTTTGTTCCATACTATGGAAGTCAATGGCTACCATCAAATGTTTAGTTACATTCTTCAAAATATCTTTTGTGTTCGACAGAAGAAAGAAATTCATACAGGTTTGGAACAACTTGAGGGTGAGGAAATAATGACAGATTTTAAATTTTTGGTGAACTCTCTCTTTAATGACACACTAGTAATATCGTCTTTTCAAAAACTAGTAGAGCAGTTTCTAAACGAGTTTTCTTCGCAGCTCCATGATCTTCGGGCAGAGAAAAGACGGTGCAGAGGACTCCATAGTGAGCGAAGGCCTGAAGGAGGCCATTAACTCGTACCTCTACATGACGGAGGAATGTGAGGACTGCTCTCAGCTCTGGGACACATGATTGGAAGACTTGACGTGAAACTTGAATGACTTTGGACTCTTGATGCCGTGATATGGGATAAAACACTTTACAGAAACTCATTTTTCGTGACCCAGACGCGGGAAATTAACCAAAAACGCATCTAAGCGTCTTTTTTAATTCGTGAATTTCTTCGTAAAAACTGTTCAAGAGCGAATGCGGCATCAGCTGAAGTTAGCGGACGCGCACTGACTCATTGCTGTTCTTCCAGAGTGGGTGCTGGAGACAAAGATGTCAGCTTCCTGTGTGGACGCGCTCCTGGTGGACATGAAAGAGAAAACGACTGAAGGAAAGAATGACGGAGGGGTGTGTGAGTGGGAGGGGGAACACAGCTGGGCGGCATACGCATCCATTTCCACTCCACTCACACTTTCTGGAACTTTATCAGTATCGTGCTTATTACAAATGTGATCACAATCAGAGAATGAAAGAAGAAGCTTTATTAATGGTACCAGAGTTTGATGTCATTTTTTGTTGAAAATGCCCAACAAAATACATATTTATGACTTAGAACATAAATGTTGTGTAACTTTGTAAATATATACGGTTGCTTAAAGAGATAATAAAGACCCGAAATGAAAACTGTCATTCCAAACCTGTTCCAGTTTCTTCTGTGGAACACAAAAGAAGATCTTGTGAAGAAAGTTGATTACCAAACAGTTTCAGTTCCCATTGACTTTAATTGTATGGTTAAAAAATATAATGGAAGTCAATGGGAATCGCAATAGTTTGGTTATCAACATTCTTTAAAAGCTCTTCTTTTGTGTTCAAAGTCATACAGGTATGGAGCAACATTAAGGTGAGAAAAATCACAATTATTATTTTTGGGTTAACTGTCCCTTGTGATTTATGGACATCAGTTATGTTCTTTTAAATAAACTCAAGAGCAAAAAACAAGGTCATCTTTGTATTTGTAGACGCTGACAAAAGCATCTTGATTGAGGCGTTTCCTGTCTTTGCACCTATTGTTTAGAAAAGAACCGCAGTCTTCAGCAGCAGGAAGCGAAGGGTTGCATGTGGTCTGCTCTCAGTGTGCAGACGGAATAGTTATACCTGTTATGTTCTTAAGCAACCTTAGTGTAGTACTACTGAGTCTTGAAAATAAATGACTTTAGATATTACAAACGAGAATTGATTTGAGAAGTTCAAGGATTTCTATCCGTTACATCAAACCACAGCTTCTCCTCCACGCAACTTTGAACTAAAGATTTCCATTTTATATAATCTTGCCAGGCTGCATGTTTCTCTACACATGGTGAAGTGAATGACTGGGAGAGAAATTTGTTTGATGATAAAAGGTAGAGCTGTTACTTTGCAGTGCCATCCAGAGGCTGTGGTATATACTGCAGGAAAAAAAATACTATACAGTGGCAATTAAAGTGTATAAACACGCATGTCATTAAGATAAATTATTAAACCAAGAAATGTTTCAAAGAAAGTTGGCACAAGCACACTTTAAAGTCTCAAAAAGTGTTTTAGGTTTCTGTTATAAAAACTTTGTTCAATGAAAGCATGAAATCAACAGATCCAACACTTTCGCGCGTCATGACTCAAATATCACAAATACAGCTCTTATGGGTCTATAAAAGAAGGCATGCCTCAACAGGAAAACATAGGCTACTGTCAGTAAAAGGGCCAACATATTAAAAATACTTTTAATTTTAAGTTTAGCTTACCTGTCGAGAAGAAACGCCACAAGTTCATCGCATCAATTGAAACAAAAACATTTTCGAATTCCACCATTTTGCAAAAACACTGCCAATGTTTAACCTTGTTTTACCCCGACGTCAGTCTATTTTGTCAAGTCTTTGCATTTTGGCTTTAGCTTCTGTAACAAAATCGTTTTCTTTTTCCACACCGGCTAAACGCAATCTGGCTTAGCTAGCTATATTAGCCACACCCCAGATGCTCGCGATTGGCTGCGCCGAGGTCGAACCCTGCCACAGATCACTTCAATTATTGATCGCTATCAAGATGTGAAGAGAATTTCTACCAGTATAACAAAAAAATATTTCTGGAAGCAAAATGCCTTCCCTACCTTTAATTTCGCAGAGAGAAAAAAAACCTAAACATCTAAGCTTCAAGTAAAAAAGTAAAGCTTTAATGAAAGACGAGAGAAAAATGTTTTTAAAATCTCATTTTAACGACGGATCAAACACCACAAATTAATGTGTACAAGCACAATTCTGTACTGAGACAGTCATGACAAATAATTCAGTCTGCAAAAAATATCAATGTTACTGAGAACGCTTGTGAAGAGAATTTCTACCAGTATAACAAAAAAATATTTCTGGAAACACAATGCCTTCCCTACCTTTAATTTCGCAGAGAGAAAAAAAACCTAAACATCTAAGCTTCAAGTAAAAACGTAAAGCTTTAATGAAAGACGAGAGAAAAATGTTTTTAAAATCTCATTTTAACGACGGCTCAAACACCACAAATTAATGTGTACAAGCACAATTCTGTACTGAGACAGTCATGACAAATAATTCAGTCTGCAAAAAATATCAATGTTACTGAGAACGCTTTTAAAAAGGAAAACACAAATAGGCGAAGGTCAGTCATCAGTTGAAGACTTCTATCTCTTGGGCCAGTTGTGACGAAACCCTCTGCAAACAGAAGTAAACCCATCATACAAATTGTTTTGTTTTTTTTAATCCAACAATGATTCATTTCTTGAGTCTAGCTGTGTGTGTGTGTGTGTTTTACCGGTCAGATTTGGCAGGGACATAAGACATGCTCCTGCCTCCCACAGCGTTTTTCTTCTGTCCTTTTTTCTGAGAATCAAAGTCGACAAAAAAATCAGAGATCTTGCACAGCTAAATCAATCCAAGCTGAGATTTGTGTGACAGTGAACGCTTGTAGACTGAAAACAGGTTAATACCTTCTGCTTGGGTCCATGTGCTTGTCTGTTTGGATCAAACTGTGAACTCTCTTTTGATTTGCCTGTGTGGATAAAATACAAGCAATGAAGACAATGCACTGAACCAATAGGAAAAATACATATGAAAAATGAAGGCAGATGTCTTACCATCAAATATTTTCAAATTTGACTGGCTGTAGTCAAAAGGTTTAAAGTCTTGTTCGGGAACTTCAGGCTCTTGAACTTTTTTCTGTTTCTTTTTTTTCTGAGCAGGTTTTGTCGACTGATCAGCCTCACTTTCAGTCTTTGAGACTTTCATTTTTGGTTTAAGACTCTCTTCACCAGCATCACTGGCGGCTCTCTCTCTTTTCTGTCCAGCCTGCTTTGCTTCCTAAGAACACAAGATCAACAAATCCTGTTAGTGTAAAACGAAGAAAAGCAAATACAGCTTGTAAAGTTGGTGAGCTGAAGCTTCCTCACCGCTACTTGCTGCCGGACAGTGTGAATGTTTTGCAGCGACTCCTGGTAGCTCAGTTTGGCTTTCTTTCGCTCCTCTGAAAGACAAACACAGACATTTATGCACAAATAAATCATCTCAAAATTAGTCTATTAAAACATCGGACTACGCAGGGTTTCTATAAAGCTGCGGTGTTGATTGTACCTTGAGCTTTCTTGGCCTGTTCTTTAGCTTGCCGTTTCTCCTGCGCCTCCTTCTGCTGCTGCTCAACACTCTGTAATTTCCACCGGTTATGAATCTGTTTTAAACAGAACAAAATTTGTCAATATAAGCCAGTAGTCAATACAACCTGAACCCCCTCACTGCATCGAGAATGATTCTGGAGTATTTGCGACTCCCTGAATCAAAACTGAAATCAATTGATAGGTGCCTTCATATTTCCACCCTTAACACCCCATATTTATATGATTTTCTGCACATTTGTCTACACCTGTTGTCAGTTGTATTGTCCATTGCAACATCTATCTGTCCGTCAAGATTAAACATGAAGAAAGTATGTCATAAAGGAGTAAGTGTTTAAAACCATTAAAACAGGAGACATTGTTTTGCTATAAAAAGCAAAAAAGCAACAACAAAAAACCCTGTATACATAAACGCATACTAAAATTGCACAATAAAAAAATATATAATGTGCTTATTTTATGCAATATTTATTTACTTAAACTGTAAAGAAAACAGTAAATAAACTGTAAAAAACAGTAAATAAAAATTGTAAATACATATATATATATAAAATTATTTGTAAGTATAAATTATTATTATTATATAGGGACCTAAACATATTATATATAAATTAGATTTATTACAGTTTAATATAATAATTATTTAGCATAATTTATATACATAACGGGACATAAATATATATATATATAAATTATTATAATTTTAGCAAATGGCTGCAATATAACAAAGAGTGAAAAATTGAAGGGGGTCTGAATACTTTCCGTACCCACTGTATATATAAAGAGGAAAAAATAAACTATACCTCATAAATCTTTGAAGAGGGGTCATACTTGGCATTCTTGGAAATGTGAATATCCTTTGATGGTAAATACTGAAAACGAGTTTTGAAATGTCAGTGAACAAGTACACAATACAACTTGACAAAAGGCATGAACTAAACTGAAGTACTGTACCATTCTGAAGGGGTTCTCAAAGGACTCCATGATGCTGTGAGCTTTTTGTTGTGCCACAGTCAGATGAGCGGGAGCTGCTGCTGCCTCCTCCTCAAATACAAATGACAAAAAAAACATCCTCAACTCACAAAACAAACTGATGAGTAAGACCATTAACAATTACAAACGTTTAAACATTTTACAAATGACTTTACAATACATGCGGACCCTCCTGAACATGCTGAATGAGAGACACATAGACAGGTTTCTCTGAATTTCTTTTAAAATGTCCTACCGCAAAGAGGCAGATTTTTGCTGAAGCTATCACGCCGTGCAAGGATTTTTCCTCTTGGTTCACACTTTCATCCTCCTCCTCTGAAAACAAAACTCCCGGTTTGGTTGGAGTTTCTAAACATATATGTGGAGAAAATGTCAATTGGTGGTTTTAAAATAACACAAAGGCAAATCATGAGGTCTTCATAATATCTAGACCTACCAAAAGAGGAGAGGTCCAGGAAATCACTTTCAGACGAGCGGGAGGTATCGTGCGGTCCGAATAAAGTCGTCTGTGGCTAGAAGACAACAGCAAGAGGGGCAATTAGAAATAAACACAATAATACAGCTTCTTCTACCAGTTTGGATCCATCGAAAACATCCGTCAACACACCTTTCTTTTAGGGGTCATAGATTTCCTCTTTTCAGCAAGTACCTCTGCCTAAAAAGAGAGAACATTCAAATTCATAGACTAGAATTTCATATTCATATTACAAATTAAGGTGAAACAAGAAGAGTCTATGAGCTAAATAGTGTTTGTCTGAGCACACACCTTGAGTAAAGGGGTCTCTCGAGCCTGTTTGATAAGCTGATGAAGCTCATTGATCTGCTGGCGCACTAGTGGTGGAGTGGGGTTACAGCACGCGATGATGCCCTGAGGCTCCCTAGAGAGAACAACACGTACGTTTATACAGCCTTCAAAAGAATAAAACATTTAAATAACAGAAAAAAAGGATTTCAAATGCACTAGTCCACTCAAACTAAGCTGAAGTTTGAAATGGCTTGTTTAGAAATCACCAAGGTTATGATGCGAGACACCACACGTCTACATTTCAACATCTTTTCAGTAATTTGGCCCATTCTAATAAATGACTATTGTGGAGGTTAGCCAGTCATAACACAGGTCATTCACACACACACACACACACACACACACACACACACACACTCTATTGTTAAAAATTTGGGGTTGGTAAGATTTTCTGAAAGATGTCTCACACCAAGGAAAAGTTAAGAAAGTTGAAAATGCTCACAAAAACCAAAATTGCAAAGTTGCGAAAAAAGAAAAAACCCACAACCTCACAAGTGGGCAACTTTAAATGAAAATGTATAGATTAAATTTAGGATCCCCCCCTTAAACTTACTTTGGAAGCTCCTCAGCGATCTTCATCATCATGTGGTTTGGTAAGATATATCTGTGGAGAAACAACACATTCATGAATCACAACAACTACACAGGAACTAGTAATCTGTCCACAGACACATGCACAGAGTCGGTTTGGAGCATTACCCAGTGCTCTCATCTCCCTCTCGAGCCAGTTTATCTCTCCAGGCGTACAGCAGTCTGAAGGCCGCCAGCTGCTGTGTGTTGAAGCTCTTCTTCTGCTTGCGGTACAGCTCCATGTACGAGTCCTCCGTAAAAATAGGCTTCACATATTTCTAAAGAGAAAGACGAGACGGATGTCAAAATATTCAGAACTTCATTTGAAACATTGAATCACTATATTGAGCTGGTTCCTTTAATTGATTCAGTTGAACTGATTCAAAGTCATAACCACAACAAAATAAACGCATCGTTTTATATTTTCTGTGCATTTGGGGTGTTTAATTAATTTAATTAATTAATTAATTAATTAATGTCATCTTTTGACGTAACCTACGCTCACTGTCACCTCCCGGCTATCTGCTATGGTTTCATCTTCGCTTCCTCCCCCTAAACAGTTATCATCTCTTGATGCTAACAGTGCTACTGATAATGTCATCTTTTGACGTAACCTACGCTCACTCTCACCTCCCGGCTATCTGCTATGGTTTCATCTTCGCTTCCTCCCCCTAAACTGTTGAGAAGGGTCTGGGCTAACAGTGCTACTGATACTTTCTGCTCCACTCTTAC